TAAATATTATTTCCATATGACTTTAACAATCTGGATCCAGGCTCAAAATGAGCTCCTTGATATGTGCTTGAGAATGGCTTAGTCTCCGGTTAAACCCAGGTTTAAAGCCTTGCAGGGCAGCCTAAAGCCCACTGCCAAAATTAAGACAGAAAAAAGAAAGAAAATAACAAACCATCAGTTCAGGGGTTTGAGAAAATATGGGAATCAGGAAATTATCTATAAACCAAACTAAAAAAAGATTGTTGTTCTCTACTTCAATAAACACTTGGTGTTAAATTCTGTTTAAAGTTACAGATTATAATTCAAAATGTCTCCAGACCTTTACTGGTTGATGATATTCTTTATTTGGACCCCGCAGATTTTTTTATTGGTTACACCTGCTCTAAGCTTTCTGATGGCATTTTAGCGAAAGGAATTTTATCAAAAAAATAATTAATGTTCACAAATAAGGAATTATTAACATGTATTTATGTATTAACCATACATGTAAACAGAGTTTCATGGGGCCCTAGGCAATTGCCTAATGGTAAATCCCACCTTCTTATTACTAATGGGTATATTTTTGAAATATGTCTCTAATTTAATTTTAGATGTACTGAAACTTTAATTTTATCTTTGTAAAAAAGGTGATTCCAGTACAGTGCAAAGGGATTTTCAGCTCCATTATTTTGTAGAAGAAGATTACCCTCACAGTATGATGCTGCTATTGCTGTGTTTCATCCTGTTTATTTAGAAGTTATTTACTATTTTGTGTTGTTCTGCCACAGTTAAATGCAATAAAGTTTTTGGTTTTGACAAAATATAAAAAAGAAGAGGTGTGCTTATTTTTTATTCTTTCTCCCTGGAACTCATATCTTGTGATGGTGTCTATTTTTCAGACTGCAGCATGGCGGCTGAAAGATTGAAAAACCAGCCAAGGCACCGCGAGTATCTGGATCAGGTACCTCAAAGTCAGTTGGAGAAACTCCTGATGATCCTGCGAGATCACATGCGCGGCCTGAGCCTGGAGGAAAGTCTTGCTTCGTTTCAACTGGACCCAGAAGAAGATCTGAACAAGCTAGATGACGAGGAGTTAGCGCGCAAAAAGGGTCAGATGGACACACTGTTTGAGAGGAACCGCAAGTGGAAAGATGACCCGGACTTTGTGTATAACCTGGAGGTGGAGTTTGACAAACCCAGTCAGGAAAAGTGCAGCTGGGACGAAGAATCGGATGATGAATTTTAAAAACTCTTTAAGAATTTAGTTCAAAATCCACTGAAAAACCCCAAAAACAAGACTCTTCCAAAGCTTGTACCAGAAGCTCTATTGTGTTAACTCTAAGTACAATAAAGAAGCTTTTCCTCCACTTAGAGCCTTAGACGAACTTTACTGTTGTTTTATAAATGAAATGAAAGTCATTTTGATTTGTACAGCTCTCATGAGATTTCCATTTCTTAAAAATGCAGCAATGATTATGGAGTCAGAAAGGGGTCAAAATGTTTGTAAATTTATAAATCTTAGTTGAAACTGAAAATATGAAAGTTAAAAAAAAGTATAAGGTGATATTTTACCTTATAATCTGAGAAACTAAAAAAAGAAATAAAATAATAAGAATTGGATCTAAATTCTTCCCCTCACCTTGAAATTTATTTTCTTTATTGCAGTTTTACATTTTCTGTTTCAAATCCCTCTTCAGTTTCAATATTTTTTTTGTTTGTTTCAAATTCCCTTTTCAGTTTCAGGAATTTTTTTACACTTTCAATTAAGATGTTTTCTCATTCAGATTTTGACCCCAATCTGGAAACGTGATTGACAGCTTGCAGCGGCGCTGGAGAGATGTCCCGTTCCATGTTGCCTTCATGGACTGTGGGAATTCCAACATTCTCTGTAGATTTTGGGAAAATCCAGTGAAAACACTGGATAAATAGTTAAATGCAACATGGAACAGGTCATTTTGCAAACTGTCAATCACGTTTCCCCGCCCACTCCTGTCAGATTAGGGTCAAAATCTGAAGGTGAAAAAAACTGACAATGTAAAATGCAAAAAAAAATTTTTTAAAAGATCTCAAAGCTGAAAAAGTGAATTTGAAACTAAAAAAATAGAAACTGAAAGAAATGGATTTGAATCTGAAAATGTAAAATCTAAAACTGCAATAAAGAAAAAAAAAGAAAAAGTAATTAATATACTAAACTCAATTTAGATTAAATTATTAAAAAAAAAAAATTGTTTGCTTTTTAAGATTACCTTACATTGTTAGGTAAAGATTTCACATTGAATATCAACTTCTATTTTTCTGTTTTAACTAAGATTTAGAAGTTTACAAACATTTGACCCCTTTTTGATTCCATAATTGATCAAATGTAAACATTGTGGGAGAATAAAAACGCAGGACACAGAGCGCGCCGAAGGCTGTAAGAGGCCTGGACTGGTAGTGGATCATGTTACGTCTACTAAGGGTAATATTTTTTTTCCACAAACTACTAAGGTTAAAAAAGGCTTATTTACAGTCATTGTTGCCATAAAATGCTCCTCCAGCTCAGACAATTCAGTTCAATTATAATGAAACTGATTGATTGATTGATTGATTGACTTTATTAATGTCACAGTGGAGAAATGCAGAAGGTGCCTAAGGAAGAAGGTGGTGGATGGGATATATACAGTAAATACAATGCATCCACATATGACAGCTATTATGCATGATCTGAGTTCACTATAAAGTTCACTATATAGTCCTCGCTCTATATAGTGATGGAGGGATTTAGGGTTTAGGGCGGACAGTAAGCTTATATGAGCCATGAGAACAGCAACTATTAAACAGAGCTTGCAGGAGGAGAAATGGGCTTGTGCACGCTCTCGCACGCGTTTCATAGGTGCTCCCCCTCAGGAGCGGGTACAGGGTTGTGCATGGGCATTTGTTTTACAAAAAATTTGCGA